TCTTTTATATTTTTCATTATAATATCAAGCACATACTATTTCCAAAAATTCTTGACTATACTCATACACATGTGTATGTATTTATTAGAAACGTGTAGTATCGTTTTTATTTTATCGGTAACATGCCGCAGTGCTTTATTTTCTTTTACAGAATTTTTCTCTTTTCTTTTATGCAATGTATCTTCTTTTACTTTTTTTTATTTAATTTATCTACGATGAGATACAACTCTGATTAATTTTTATTATATATTATATTTATATTTCATATATTTTAATATTTTCTGTTTATCTATTCTCTTGTAAAAAATATATATGTATTATATATAAATATAGTCTGTCTGCTAAAGGAACGGACAGTACAAATAATTTCATCTCTGTGTACTATAATTTTTATTCTATATTTAAATTGAATTTTTACTGAAAATGAAGTTAATAAAAAATATAAAAATTTGAAAGCACATTCGTATTTACAAATATATTTTATATATTTTTACACATACTATTCTACAGTAAATATATATATATTTTATAATATATTTTAATAATACATATATTATACAATTTCTACATTTCTATAAAATTAGTATATAGTACATTATACAAACGTAAATATAAAAATGATCACTTTATAGTAGACATATATATCAAAATGTCCATGTATATTTATAAATATGTATATACTATTATTATACTACCTCTATACATATATATATACACTATACATTCTAAGCTAGAGGGATAAAAAAAAAGGTTAAAGTCGACAGAGATTAACTGACCGACCGCGAGACTTCGTTCGCGTGTTTAGCGAACGAGAATCGATCATGATCGATCGGTTTCTTTTGTTTTCAACAATTTTAATGCACGAACGTTCAGCTTCGATCGTTCTTTTTCGAGGTGTCACCGGTATGCAGAGTGTTGTGATGTGGTGTGGTGTGATATAGTGTGACGTAGTGTGACATAGTGTGGTGTGGTGTGGTATGTGGTGTACTGTTCTGTGTGTTACGTGCTATGTTGTGGTAGTAGACTAATAAAGTCTGACTAGACACCGAGCGTAACTACTGTCGGCTTGGTGAGCTTCGATTTGTTATATACTTCTACATTTACACCGTTTGAATCTACGGGAATAGGAATGAGTAGTACATAGACAACAGGACGGTGTGCTAAGCATCGGGGAAACTCTCTTAAACGTCACGCGTTTACACGCTCATCGATTTTTACCTTGCAATTCTACAACGATTCTAACATTCATGTGTTGTGCATGATGAGAGAAAAAAAGAAAAGGAAAAATAAAAAAAAAAAAAGAAAGAAAGAAAAACCGTCCGAACGATCTATTCTAACAAAGAGATAGGAACGCTAATTTCGAATGAGTCAATAAAAACATATATATTTTGGTTAGAAAAATTTCCAACTGACTTCTTCAATATTATTTTTCAAACTAATAATATTTTCTTTCAATTATTAAACTGCAAGTCTAGTGATCGTAGTAATTAAAAATTTCATTTATTTAAAGGAATAGTTAGAATCTTTCGATTCATTTAAATAAGTATAAATACTAATCTGCAAATATTTGTTGTTTTATATATACAGAATGGGTCAAAAGTTTCAAAGTGGATCAAACATTTCTAAATGATTGAAAAAATTAATTACTCTTCATACATATATGTCTAATATCAATCATAAGATGTAAATAAATCATGATCGTAACGGAAGTAATCGAAGAAAAGAAGAAAAGTTAATTTCCGCATAGTTATATTGAAAGTTTCTTGGTATAATGATCCATATATTCCTAACAGGTTTACACATAGTTGATATCTCTGACTGACCCTCTTATGCAATCTCTTCGAACGATTTCTACCAAGTCGTCGTCTATCGACATTGATCCGTATTCACATCGAATGTCGAAAGCGTTTCCATTTAATCCCACCACCACTACCAACATCCCCTTAACTTTCCTCTTCTCATCCCAAACTACCACCAATACTACCAGTCACTTATCTCCAAAGGCAACGTTCGCACTCCCAACTTTTCTATATTTTATAAGACAAGATTTTTGATCGAAAGATGATCTAGAAAAGTAATCTTGCAAGTTTCATTCTGCTTTGATCATTTTTTTAATCTAACTTTTAGTCAAATCGAAAAGGAAATAAATGTACAAAAAATGTGTAAACTAATAATAACTCCAGTCTTATCTATTCTCTATTTGATCATTTTCTTATCAATTCTACGATAGGCTCTCAACAATTTGAAAATCAATTACTCTTATTAAGTATTTTACTATTCCATGTGTGTGTGTGTGTGATTACCAAAAATTTGTAAGATAATTATTTCAAATCAATTATTCTTTCTTGAAAAGAGATTGCAATATTAAAATAATAATTTTATAAATTATACTTGTAATGTCATAATAATTTGAAGAAAAAATATGAATCATTAATAAATGATTTAAAAAACAAACAACAACAAGAAAAATTAATCAATATTTAAAATAACGAATAAACTTTTGACCCACCTAGGAAGATTTGGTCCACTAAAGAACTTTCGGCCCATCTTATATATAAATATATATTATACATTGTATATGCATATCGTACATATATACTATGTGTCCCAAAATGGTACAAAGAAGTTCATTTGAAAAAATTCTCTCTCTCTCTCTCTCTCTTTATCTATCTCTATCTCTTTTCTTCTCGATAAGACTACTCCTTCTACTTCTTCTACTTCTAGTTCTACTTCTTCTTCTTCTTCTTCTTCTTATTCTTCTATTTCTTCTCTCTCTCCCTTTTCTATCTTTCACGAAAACCGTCCTATTCCCTATATAGCTTCGTGTCTTCTATACACGCGAAATGGATCTCCGTTATTCCATTGTGAAAGGATTTCCAATAGCCTTCGTCAGAGCTCTTTTCACGCAAGGTTCCGCAACACTGTTTGCATTTACTGTGACGTAAGGGTGCCTCCGCATTGTAAGCCTATACCGTTCTACAAAAAGAGAGAGAGAGAGAGAGAGAGAGAGAAAGATGGTATTAAAACGTGAACCCGCACATTTCTCTCATCTATATCTGCCCGACTATTCGATTGTAATAAATAACAAAACCATACACTCAAGGGCCATACCAAAGTGTCAATTCTAACTTAAATATGATCGAGAAACTATGATCTACAAATCAATTTGTAAATCGTAGATAAAGCTAACACAATTTGTGTCATTTATTTTTTTTTTTTACAATTTAACTATTAATTTTTAACATTTAGTTCGTGTTAAATATCATTATACGCATTCTGTTTGCCACAGTTAAATGATTGAATTCTTAATCAATGCGAGAAAAGTGTCAAATTATGATTTGAATATTTCGAATTCCTTCGATTTAATTTCTAATAAATGTTCATGATATTTTAACACTGGGATAAGATTTTTTCGTGTCGAATTGAATCGTTTATGATTGTTAACACTTTGACTGCCGTGTAAGTCACCGGTGATCTCAACACACGACCAATAATAAAAATACATAATTAAAGTAAATATCGATACTGATAAATTTTTAAATAATACAATTGTATTTTTAAAGGTTTCAAGATAATAATCAAATACAGAACATGCAAAAATAATGTTATTATTACAAGGAAAATATGCATGACATGTAACGATGTTTTTTTTGTACGTAATTGCTTGATAAAATGCAATCTTCATCATCAGAAGATATCAGAGATTACAATGCTATAAATTGTACAACTTTGCTATTTCTTTGAAAAGTTTTGGTAAATATTTTTTATACTAAAAGTRAATAGATTTTAATGAWWYWTATATTAAATTAAAGTACACTCTTTTGTCTACGCGTAGAATACCATATCGAGTTATAAATTTAGCATATAAAGTTTAGAAAATGTCAGAGAATGCAATGCGGTAAATTGTGCATCTTTGCAATTTCTTTGAAAAGTTTTGGTAAATATTTTTTATACTTAGAGCAAGCGGATCTTAATGATTTTTATATTAAATTAAAGTACACTCTTTTGTCTACGCGTAGAATACCTTATTGAGTTACAAATTAATTCGCAAAGGTTCATAAAATGGCAAAGAATGATGCGATGCTGAAAATTTTTCCTACTTTGCCATTTCTTTGAAAAGTTTCTGCAAATATGACTGATTCCGATTCTGATTCAATGACTGATTTTCGGCTTTGACGGTAACATATGCATCTCATAATAAAAAATTTATTTAGACGCCACGGGCAAATCTAGCAATTACGGGCGACAGTCAACATGTTAATCGTCAAATGTTATTTTACTTTGATTAGATGAAAAATATCTTGCACGATAAATAACACATGTCAGTATCGTAATAAAACAAGACGGGATAAAATATCGATAATATTATTTCGTGTTTGATAAATAGAATAATGTCGTCATTTCCGGAGAAATTTCGAACAAGTTTAATACCAATTTCACATGCAACATTATAGTTAAGGGAAAACAAGTAAAGTTAGGATAAACGCGAAACAAGGTGAAATCGTATCGTCAAAGAGAGAAGCAATGCGTAGCAAACGAAAAGAGAGAGAGGGAGAGGGAAAGTAAGGGTAGAAAAAGGATTGGGGGAGACAGTTTAGTCGAAAACGGGATTTTATGCAACTAATCCTTTCGAAGAATCATCACGAAAGTAAACGATACTTAACGTAAATTCTCCTTATCTCTTTATTTTTTGATCTTTAAACTATTCAGTTTAGTTTTAATCAATTCAATGTATTTGTGTAGTAAAGTTTTAAACGATTGCGTGGTTATTCTCACATTTTACCATTCGTTACTATGATATTTAGGTTTTAAACTATAATGACGTTCATTTTAAGTATCCTTAAAGAAAGAAACAAACAAACAAACAAAGTTACTCCTTTATTATTATAATTATTATTATTATACCGGCCTAATTAAGTTTGATAATAAAGTTTAGATACAACTAAATATAAAAAAAAAAAGAAAAAAGAAGGATATTAAAAAATGTCAGTCGAGCTTACCTCGTCGTATATAAAGTTATCGATTTCTTCGAGTGGTCTGCCATAAAGTTCGGTCGGGAAAGGTTCGAATTTCATTGGCAAAACGGCACCATCTTCAACAGACATCTTCCTTTTCGGTTGAAATCCATAATCTCTGACCAATTGCACCGTACGATTTTCTATCCTGTCCAGGCTTTCTTTGGTAAATGGTTTGACTGTTTGTTTGGCAGCCTTGCCGGGTGTCTTAGATCCAGGAGATTTGCCTTCGATGTTAACAACGATCGTATCGAGGGCTATGGTCGAGTTTTCTCTTGGTGTTCCTATAGTGTCCGCTTGAATCTCGGCACTTCCGGTATCGCCGGTACCAGAGTCTGCCGAGGTACCAGCGGTCCCAACCAACGGTGGACGTAATCTCGTACTATCCTGAACTCTCGATGATTTTTTCGTCGGTGAATCCTTCCTATTATCATCCTCCCTAGAAATCGGACTAGTTTTGTCGCGCATTGTATCGACTTGATTAGAATCTTCTTTTTTATCATTGACAATACCCTTCGTCGTAGATTGTATTAATTCAGTCTCCGTTACTCCAGGAATGTCTCGATCAGAATTCTTCGTTATCTGTGAATTATCGTACTGAGGACTATCGGCATAGGGTCTCGCTGTAGCGCATCTTGGAAATAACCTGGACAGGCTATCCTCGTAATCATATTCGTCGTAAAGCGTATACTCGGGTGGACTCAAACCCGCGTATGGTGGTGGCGAGCGTCTTGCTGGTTGTTTCTTCGGCGAGTCCCCTTCACCCTGATCGTCCGGTCTCGTACGCGTTCTTCTCGGTGGTGGAATTGGTGGTTCCTCGGGGCTCCTCGAACGGCTCCTTTCGAACGCAAAATCCGTATTACGTGAACTGGAGGATCTCGTAGAATCTTTCGATACTCGTAAATCCACGGAACTTCCTCTTGGCGAATTGCCGATTCTTCGCATGGCAAGAGGCGACTTCCAACTGTCGACCGATCCGAAGGATTCCCGGACAGGAGAGTTGTGCCTCGAACCCCCATCGAAACAACGCCGAGACCAAACTCTTTCGATCGGCACGGAACCATGATGATCGAGTCTTCTTTCGGTTTCATTGTATCTAACACCAATAGCCGATCTTCTGGGTGGTTGGGGTGTTCTAGATGTTGCAACAGGATAACGATGATGTCCTTCGAATTCTCGACTCGGACCGGGAAGATTCAAACTTCTTTGACTACCACCGTTCCTCCTTCTCTCGTTTGGGTCTCCCTTTGGCCCATAAATTCCTTCTTCCGCCAAACTATCCAGTTCTTCTCTGCTAAGATTCTTCACGTAGAGACCCGCCACCCGAGGACGATTAACGAATCCGTTGTCCTCGGAACCGCTACTCAGCGGACTACTGGGTGGACCTTTACACCCCTCGCTTCCACCTCGCCGAGATATCATTGGGATCTCTGCTCTTTATTCATCACCTTGTACCTTTCATCTCGTATGATCCTATCGATATCACCTTGTTATTTTTATTCCTCTTCTTTTTCTTTCTCTTTTCTTTCCTCCTTATTCTCCTTCTTCCTATCCTTCTTTGATCTATTCTACTCCTCTCCTCTCTATCTTCTTCGTTAATAACTATCGTAACCTTCTCCTCGTACAACCAAAGGCAGGAACTCATCGTCGATATCTTCCCGACGAATCATACCGCCGGCATTTGTCAACTCGTAAATATTCTTCTTCATTGCTAAGAAAAAACGTTCGTTGCTTTTTGTTCTCTTTTTTTCTTTTTCTTTTAGTTTAGTTTTCCTTTTTTTTCCTGTTTTTCCTTTGTTTCTTTTTTTCTCTTTTTCTTTAATACAATGCTATATCATTCCTACTAATTTTCTTTTTCTTAGAAAAATAAAAACAAATTAAATATTCCAATCACAAAGTTCTCTCTTCTCTCTCCCCGTTCCTTTCTTATCCTTCAAATCTACAAAATCGATCGAAAAGAAACCCTCAATAATCATCATTCTAATCTCAACGCGAAATCCACCTATAATCTTATAGAATATGATCCCTTAAACCTCATAAATCAAGTTCCAAATCGCTAAGACAAATATTACATTAGCTTAGGGAAGTCTTTCGTCAAGGTATCCTATCCTAGAAGACGAATCGTTGACTAATTTATCCAAAGCGTGATTTTGATGGAAGTCTTGTTCTTTGTCGAAGACTTCGAGGTTGGGGTTGAGAAATGATAGGCTGATTAAGGAGTTATATGTCCTTTGTTTGGATAGGTTGAAACGAATCTATGGAAGTCACGGATCGAATAGGAAGTTAAGTGAGGAAGTCGTGTTTTGCGGTAGTAGTTGGAAGGATGTTAGAAAGTGGCTTGCGAGAAATGTTCATCGGGATTCACGAAAGCCATGAAAACAAGGGAACCGTTTGTAAATACTCTCTCTCTCTCTCTCTCTATCTATCTCTATCTATCTCCCTTTCTGTATTTTGGAATAGTTCCAAGGTAGGTTAGACACCAATTCGTGAGGTATTTCCTGTTGATAAAGGAATGAGAAGAAGACAGGAAGAAAAAGGGAGCAATAGAGAGAGAGTATTTTATATGTGTGTGCGTTTGTGTCAGGTGGTTGGCTTACGGGTCGATCACCCTGACCCTTCCTAACATCATATTCTATTCTCCCTTCGGTTTATCGGCGATTCAACATCCTGTCGAGTGCAAAGATAACTCGCGTTTGTGCGTTCACGTATCATGATGATGATGACGATGATGATGATGATGATAATGATAATGATAATGATGATGATGATAATGATTATGATGATAACGAGAACGATGATTATTTTTTCAGTAAGATGAATATCGAATCCTTGGAAAAGAAAATTCGAACGAAAATTTTATCGACGTGGGGGCGTTACGCCCTTGTAGGAGTCATTGGCCTCTGTACCAATGCTGGAGCAACGCTCTCTTTGGACATTTGTTTTTATTCTTTAATTATGTTACTTTAAAAGGATTGTAATCGTCGTTGTTTCTATTTAAAAAAAAAAAAAAGAAAAAAAAATATACATATTATATATATATATAAATATAAATATGTATACATACACGCGTGCACGCATACAACGCGCGCAAAGTTAGATACGTTCTGTAACTCTCTGTGTGTGTGTGTGTGTGTGTATGTGTTTATGTATGAATGCGTGATGCAACGAAATGAATAAAGGAATGAAATGCAATGACGCATATATATATAGGGGCTTATTCTAATTCATAAAACCCGCGTTAAATCGAATCTGTCGATATAAATAAAATAAATATCAAAGAGAAACAAGATGAGAAAGAGAGAGAGAGAGAGAGAGAACTCGTTTTAAAAAATGTTGCTACGAAAGGTCCGCGAACATCACCAACCAGAGGGTAGCAACCAACATCAGCACGTTCACGAACACCATCTCACAATCACAAAAATATTAGGAGCCTTGCTAAGTGTTGTTCCTTTTTCTCCTTTTCCTTTTCCTTTTCCTCTTCCTCTTCCTCTTCCTCTTTCTACTCTTTTATTTATTACTCCTGCACCTTTTTTTCCTTCCCCACTTTATTTTCTTCCTCCCTTTTCTTCCTTTTCTTTAACTCATTTGATAAATTCCCATCAAAGTGCACTCGCGAATTTCTACGCGTACGTTTAAGATATCAGCGGTATAAAAAAGAAAAAAAAAAAACGCACGTTACGAGCTCGTTTTATCACCAAGGAAAGAAAATTTTCAGAAGGAAAAGGAGACGAAAGGGAAAAAAGGACATGAGGACGTATAAGAAAATAATAATAATGATAATAAGATGAAGAGAAAATAATAATATAATAATAAATTAAGAAAAATAAATAGCAAAAAGAGAAGGATAAGGAAGAATAAGAAGAAAAGGAAGCAGATAAAGAAAATGAGGATAATATTAAAATAAGAATATTAAGAATAAAATAAGGACAAATGTTAAGGGTTGAACGGTGAAGGGTAAACGTGGGTAAAGGGTTGGAAGTAATATGAAAGAGAGAGAATGGTAGAAATAAAGGAAGGATAGAAGAAGAAAAGAAAAAGAAGAAGAAGAAGAAGAAAGAGGAGAAGGAGGAGGAAGAGAAAAAAAGGAAGAAAAAGAAAAAGAAAGAGATAGACGGGTAGAAGAAGAGAGCCGTGGTGCACCCTCGTCGTATAGTCCGGTAGATTCTGCTTCGAGCGGGGGTGCAAAATCACGGGCGTCTCTTTCGAGAGCTGTGGCGGCACTGTCCGCGAACAGCCGACTCGTTTGCCGCTCGCACGCTCGTATCGAACCAAACGATACCCCCCCACACACACACCAACACACACGTACAACCTTTTACAACCCCCCACACTTCCCAACCCCTTCTCTTTCTTTCTAACTCTCTCTCTCTCTCCAAGAAACGTGAACATGTATCAACCAATACATTTATTCTACCTCGTGAACACACACACACACAAACAACGTCTCGTTGTCCCTTCTCCCCCCCCCCACTCAGGTAGAAAACGTGGAAAATCTACGGACTATACGGTTGTAGTGGTACTCTAATGTTACTGTGTTAGTTGTTATAGAGATGGTGGTAGTAACTGTGGGGTGCTGGTGCTGGTGGTGGTGGTGGTGGTGGTGCTGGTACTAGTGCTGCCGGTGGTGAAAACGGAGAATTCAAGTTCCAGAGAAAGCCTACCAGCCGAGTTGTACCCCTTGTTGCTGTGCTTATATCTTTTCCCTTCACTGGACTCTACCAGGACCTTTTCCCTAATCAATTCGTGTTAATATGTATGTGTTAGTCTTTGTATATGTGTATATGTGTATATGTGTGTAATACGTTCGGAATGTTACTAACGAAGTGTAACTTTCCTAAATGATTTACAATTAGTTATATCCATATTTCATTGAACTAAATCCTTTTTTCAAGGATTCTCTTTACTACTATTACTTTTTTTTTTTTCTTTCTTGTTTATTTGTTAAGGGAATTGTTTATTCGATAAATTCTTTGACCATCGGTCGATGTTAAATAACGAGAGGTAACATTTATAAAATATAACTTTATTCTGAAATAATATCAATGTGTGTGGATGTGTCTGTGTGTGTGTGTGTGTGTAATCAAATGGTAGGAATGCAATTATTATTTGATTATATCATTTCACGGGGTTAATTACACACGCCGTTCTAGAATTTGTACAACCCGTTGTAAAAATATCTTTAATTGATATGTAACTTCATTTCTTTACGTAGGATTATTCCAAATAATATTTATTCGTTATAATTCGAGTTATACATATATAGACTAGATTTAAATATAGAAAAATCTTATTTCGTTCAAATAGGTCGAATTCAATTTCTCAGAAGAAAAATTAGAATTGAGATTTCGTAAGAGAAATCTGAAAATCGTATTTCGAGATATTTGTTATGGCAACAACATTACTTATACATATACACGCATAAACTGTCGTTTGATCAAGCTACCATTAATTAAAAATCTCGTTAGAGAATACGGTTCGTTGTACTATTTATACTATCAGAATGATCTCATTTAGTTAATAATCTATAATTAAATACGTATAAAATCTCATCTCATCATAATAATCATTTTCTTGATCGAAATAATAAAGGAAATAATATAATGTTATTAGTGATGTCTCTATTATAATAATCTCTAATGTTATACCTAATAATAATAATAATAATGATAAAAATAATTATTCTATATATGTAAAATTCAAAATATTTTGTATTAAAATATAAAATATTTTCTTTTTATAATAAGCAATTTGTAAAAATAAAGCTCTGACATATATTTTATTAAATACCTAATTTACCCCACAACTTAGGGTTGAGTTTATCGAACTATTATAATTCTTTATTTAATCATAACTTGAACAGGCCACTTCATATTCAACGAAAGTCTATTTTAATGCGATGAAACCTCAGAAATTCACGTTTCAACAATTGTTAGATTAGAACGCTTGGTTTCAATAATTCTATTCATGGACGATACTCACTGATCCATATAGATGCACTCCTATAACGAACTTGATCGGTGAACGAAATCCGTTATGCGAGGATATTCTGCATTTTCAAATTTACCCGAGATTCGTCAGACGATACCTACGATCATTACAATATTACTATCAAACAAGAGAGAAATTGTATATTATTTTAACTTTATAATAACAATAATAACAATAATAATAATAATAACATTTCATAAAACCAGAAATACTCATAAATCAACTTTCGATTAGCAAAATTTAATAAAAAAATAAAAATTCTAATAATAATAATATTGCGATCTTTATTTTGGTAAAAATTACGAACCCTTAAAACAACTTCGATACTGTACGATTATTAAAAGCAAACTATAATTCTATTTTAGGCTTGTTTTTATTAAAATTTTCTTGTTATATTAATTATATTTTATGCTATTAAATAAGCTACTGAAAATTATTGTAAAATCTATAAAATAAAGATGCTTGTTTGGGTTTGTTTTAAATGGAAATTCACAAACTTAATTTACTCAATTTCAAATGATTTTATGGATCGGTAACTTTCTGCATAATTTGACTCCACAATTTAAAGGATATCAAATTTATTATATGTTGCACTATCTAAAGCACACCAGACTGTATAATAAGCTTTAAACTTTGTCTCTTATATCACTAATTATATGCATAAGCAATTGATGGGATATTCAATTAAAAATTAATAACATAAATTTACAAAAAAAAAAATAATAATGATAATAAAATCAACCGATTGGTAAAAAAAATCGTATCCACATCGAACATGGTATAGTTAAAAGTGGATAAACAGAAACCTTTGGTGCTACGAAATAGACGATTTATTTTTGAAATACTGAAACTATCTTTGAACAAACAACGATAACTCATAATACTTATTAGTCAAAATGTTTTATCGTTATTCCTTCTGTCGATTGTGCGTTAAAATATTATTTGTTACGTATATAGATTTGTATAAACTATAGATCAAAATTATTTGACAACGTAGAAAAATATTAAGAAAATGTTCAAATGAAATAAATGAAAATTACTAGTCGTTTATTTTCTCGTGGCAAAAAATTACAAAAATAAATTGGTTTTTTGTTAGAAACGACTTGCGGAAAAAAATGAACAAAAACATACAGAATATTTATAAAAGAATAATTCAATTTTAACTTCGTTAAAATTTTACTTTTAATACAGCCTGACCTGTTCTTGATATCCCAAGTTCTGCAACTTCTGTAATTTTGTCTAACAATAAGTCATTTGTTTAAAGAAATAATTAAGCATGAGTTATACACGCGATAGAAAAAAAAAAAACATGTAATCGATATATCGAAAATACGTTTTACACAAGTTAAGTTTTCTTTTTTTGTTCAATAAATGAAACATCAATAACGAACGTAATTATGAATTTTTTGAACAAACTATTGATTTCCTATAAGAGTGTTAAGAAAAATTGTATAGGACACTTATTTAAAACAAACTTTTATTAATTTGGTAAAATGATCAAATAATTTTAACCGATAATGTGTGCATAAAAAAAAAAAAAAACTAAACGTTTTCTTTCGATCGTATTTTATAGTTTGACTCTTTAACTTTACCTCCATTTTTTTCCTTCCTTTTCATATTGTTCTTATGTTATTTTACAAAAGTCCATAAATCATTTTCCTCGTGTTCATTATTTTTTTAATCTTCTTACATAAGTAAGCAAGTAAAAGCCTTGTAAATCTGAATAGTAAATCTTATAATCGTTAATAATTATTATAGTCTTTTCTAAAACGTGATTTTTCACAGCTAATAATATGCAACGAAGGATATATAATGCGTTAATCATTCTATTTAAATGGTATATTCAATTATTTATTATTATTATTATTATTATTATTATTATTATTATTATTAATATTATTATTATTATTATTATTATTATTAATATTATTATTAATATTAACAATATTATATTTATTAGCACCATATATATATATCGTGATCAAATAGTCTGGCTAAATTACCAAAAAATTTCTATATTATACATCAATTTTTTTCATTTTCTCTCTCTCATCACTGATCATTAAAAAAAAAAAAAAAAAAGATAAATTAATCTTTTTTTATCTACGCGAGATCTACTTAATATATATTATAATTATAAAAAAATATTATTTATTATAATATATAATAATACGTCCTGCACACATCACATTTTTAAATAATCTCATAATCAAAATTAATCAGATAATAATTTACTCGGTTACTGATCTATATAAATCTTTTCGATTTCTAAAATCCTACTCAATACTCTTAAAACACATTATTTATATCAAATACATTATATGTCATTTATCACATTTGTAAATCATAATCAAAATTAAATACAATTTTTTGATATTGATCTATACATCAAATCTTCTTTCTTTATTTTTTCTCTCCTCAATTATCAAATATTCGAATATAAGAGGTAAATGATTTATTTAATGTCATTAAAAAAAGGATCGATTATGATAATTATATTATAATAATACATGTTGTTGCTCGTTTATTTTTACCATCGTAGATGATATGAAAAACAAAAATATATATCTGCGTTTGAAAAGCTTCAACATTGCTCTCTTTAATCAGTAAAGTTGAATCTACAACATCATAATTAATAAAACATTAACGATACCATACTAATGATATCTCTCTCTCCCTCTCTCTCACACTCACTCTCTCTCTCTCTCTCTCTCTCTCTCTCTCTCATTCTCTCTTTTTCTTTCTCTTTCTCTTTTTATCTCTGCGCAGCAGAACAGCCGTGGAAAAAATACTCTTGTGTCTTTTTCTCTCTACGTCTTAAAATGTAATATCGCGATTATTATTATTATTATTATTATATTATTATTATTATAATCTTTGTTTATATATATATATATATATCTATGTATAGTTTTAAAGTTTATATATTTTACAGTTAGTCGATTTGTTACTTAATTATTTTTTGTTTCATTTGTCTTTCTATCTCTTTCTCTCTTTCACTCTCTCTCTCTCTCTCTCTCTCTCACACTCATACCGACATTTTATTTTAGTCAATCATAAAAAAGATAATATATGTATGTTTCACGTAATGCAAATATTTGTTATTATAATTTATGTTGTTCGTTTGTATGTTATTAAAATCAATCAATGAGTTTGCAATCAAAATTCAAACGAAATATTGTTAATTGCATTATAATTATACGTACGCGCTAGATTATTGCTAAAAGAAACTTAATAAAAACATTACAAAATGTACACTTTTTTTTCGAGATTATTTATACATATTTTAAACCCATGTATATATATATATATGTGTATGTAAATATGTATATTGTTACTAGCCTTGAATCATGTATATTAAAATAATTGGAATAAACAGGGTAATATGAGAATAAATAAAAAATATTTGAGGGGTGGTTTTTTTTGAATATCCAAACAAAAATGTTTATACAAATATGTTCTATTAAATTTATTTTTCTTTAGTCGAGTTTTATTTTATATATTATTGTTACTAGCCTTAATCGTGTATATTAAAATGGTTGGAATATAGAGGATGTGTGTCCCAGAATAATTAAAAAATATTCTAACGTATCGAAACAACAAAAATTTATACAAATATGTCCTATTAGAATTTTTTCTTATTTCTTTTTTTTTCGATTTTTATTCGTGCGGTTATTTGGAATCTATTTTGCATAAAAAGTTTCCACAGAGACGGTGTTGAAATTCTTCGTGAAAAAAATTATCAAAGTTTTCAACAAATTTGGATATATGAAGAACGTTAAACAAATAAGGTTTTGCAAGTTGGTGTTGGTAAGGATTGATCTCTGCAAGGCTCTATTCAAGTACTAAAAGATCATTTCAAAAATTATTTTTTTTAAATAGATAAATATTAATTTTGTTGATAAAAATTCGAAAAAAAAAAAAAATCACAAATGGAACATACGTTTGTATAAAATTTGTTTTTATTGTTTAGTACGTACTTAATTCATTAAAATATATTTTCTAATTGTTCTGGGACAAACTGTATAGATGATTCTACGATCTATTTGTCAAAATTTGTCCAATTTCCTAATGTATTTTTTTTTCTATGCTTTTCTTTGACGATAATCGTTTGAATTCTTAGTATTTGGACAAATCTTTGTCTTCTTTTCTTAATCCACCAATTGCAATAATACATTCGGAGAAGTTACTTAATTAAATATTAATTAAATATCTAAAATTGCAATGACCTTTTGTAGACGCCCCCTAATTGAGCTCAGATTTATATTATTCTAACTCATATTACAGAGACAATCACATTGTTAACTATTATCATAATTATTATTATTATTGTTATAATAACTATTACTATTATATTTATACATGGCTTCGAATATATTATGCGTTTGCGTGTATGTATGTACCTGTATATATGTATGTGTACTTATATCACAATATACAATTTCTTCAAGTTTTTAAGTTAAGTTCAGATAAATATATATAGTAGTAGCTTAAAGATGACGGAATATTATCATATCACTCGATAATAATTATGAAATCGATTAGTATTCTTTTCATTATTATTATTATTAGAATTTCTTAATTATTTTAATATATATGTATGTACATAACATTAATACAAATACATATATTTATATGTGTATATATATATGTACGTATATCGTAGTACACAATTTAAATTTCTTAGGTAAATATTTTCTGACTTATTAATATACTACAAAGGATACATATCTACAAAAGATTATATTATTGTTGTATATTAGAGTTTTTGTTCATATATACGTCATAATAAATCGTACGAGTTGTTATTATCCTTTTATTTCAATTATTACTAGAGATGTAAATGTAGATATATATATACACCTTTTCTTTCTTTTTAAATCATGTCAAATCGAACTTTGACGAATGGATCGGCAATTTATTTATTCATTTATTTATTTATGTATGTAAGTTTTATATTTGTACAATAAAAAATAATATTTCACGATACGCAATACTTTTTTTGTCATTATTTGTTAACAAATTTTAGAATTAATTTAACTGATGGATCTGTGAAATATGTATTACATGTTATAAAGACAAGTATGAAATGTATAAAAAAAAAAATATTGTTACACACACACTTTCTTTGTCTCGTTGGAAAACGAAAAAAGTAATAAATGAAAAAAAAATACATTGATAGTAATATTAATAATAATGATAATAATA